TTCATAGAATTGTTGGCAGAATGAATTTGAATAATATTTTAATTACATTTCTGTGTCATCCACTATATTTTGAGCTGACAGACATTGTAACATATTTATCTTTGCATTCTTGGTGCTAGGCATTGCACCAATTGTGATGTCCAATAAATATTCAAAGAAGAAAGGAAGTCAGAAATTCTTTTTTTACAATTAATTGGCCACTTGTTGATTCTATGACAAAGTCATTTGGAATCAGGGCTCTAAGTTAGGACAAACATTATTTTGATTTCTTTTCCAGATGACCAGTTTTTAATTTGTTAGTTTTATTTTTTCCTTTTCTAATTTTTCATTTTAGTAACTTTTAAAGAATTTTTTTCATTTTTTTTTCACTCCCACAAACTGGATATCCCAGCACTAGTTGCAGTACATTAAGTAACATATCAAATATAACCAATGTCCTGTAGTCAACCATCATGTGTGGGTCAGTGCTGTGTCTAAAGTAAATATATATGTTACGTCAACTCTGCTCTTGATCTTGCTATCTAGCAGGGGTGTCAAACCGTAACTAAAAAATGCCATAAGTTTAAGTAAGCAACAGAAGAGAAGGAATAAGTGACTATGTGATTATTTTTCAAGTGAATAAGTACTGTAGGTGTCCAGAGAAGGAGCAATTACTTCCCTTAAGGTTAGGGTTAATAGTCCTTATATTACTTGTACAAAGTCTTGAATTATGAGTAGAATTAAAAGAGACAGAGAAGAGAAGTAAAATATTCCATGTGGATTGAGCAATCTGAAGGAGATGCAGGGTGTGCTTGGGGAGACAACAAACTTGTCTCTGGATTACAGGGGTCATGTATAGCTTTGAAGTTGTCTGGCAAAGCAAGAGTAGGAAAGTTTATAGAAAGTCCAAATGAGAAAGCAGAGTTTAAGGTTGCTTTCACATCTGACCATTTCTGTGTTTTGCACATGACTACAAAGAGACTAATTTTGGAACCCAGGCACAAAAAAAAAAAATCAGAACCAATATTTGAAGCTCACTATGGTAGGTTGTTGAGTGAAAGCTTCTAGGCTTTAAGTTGAATCACAGAGTGGATTCAAAGGCCTACAAATCCTGACAATGCCAAGGTAAGCCTCCTTAAAGGCCAGGCTATATTGGCTGGAAGACCAATGAGCTACTAAAGACAAAGTTCCCATTTAGAGACAAGTTTGAAAGTAACACAGTAGGTATACAGCATATGCTATCAATTGATTTTTTATTTTTTATTTCATTTTATTTTTTTACCTTTATTGTTGAAAGTATTACTGATGTTCCCTTTGTTTGTTTGCATTTTCCCCCCATTGACACCCTCCACCTCATACCCGCCCCTCCCAGGTCTTCATCACTCTATTGTCTGAGTCCATGGGGAACTTATATGCATAACCCATCAATTCATTTTTTAATATTTCAAAATGGGATGGGAGAAATATACTCCCTAAAGTTAGAAATGTCTGACTTTGTGAAAGCAGTTACTGACTCTTACTGTGGGACTTTGGGTAAATTCCCTTAACTTCTCTGAGCCAAAATTTCCTGGTTAATAAAATGAAATATATTTATTTTTGGCATCAATATTGCAAGGGTTAATTGATCATTGAGCTCAGTGTGTCTAGGACTAGTATTTCACAAATGAGAGATTTTCTTGCGTTTTCCCCTCCTATCTCAACTGGCTTAGGTTTTGGACATCTGTTGTCCTTCTTAGACCCCTATTCTGATATCCATGTGCAGTTTCCTTCAGTGCATGTTGTTTCCTTTCTTATGCTGTCCTTTCCTGTGGCATTGACTTTATACCTCCTATATCATAGTATAAACTTCTTAAATATAGGACATAGGTGTCCTGCATCCATCATAACCTCCAAGATTGAGCAGGAACTGAATAATATGGGGTGAGTGAATCAATGATCAAAGTCCTCACTAGCACTAAGTAAAACATTTTATAAGCTAATGCTAAAAAAGTTGCTAGAGATAAATAATAAATTCAGGTCAATATTTTTTATGTTTATTTCTTAAATTGTTTCAAATAGAATATTTGTGGACAAAGAGTCACTTTTCCCCCCTAGTAGTTTTATTTTAAAAGTCAAGCAATGGAGAAAAGACACTGTACTTATATCATAAGATTTTCATACAATTACAACATTGTCTTATTTCTTTTTTTTAAGTTATAAAGTGTATTTTTACAACTATCCAATATATGACTTAAATGTTGATTTCATCAAATGAAATATACCTGAACATACCCACTACATGATATGCACAGGAAAAGACACAGAAATCAAGCAATACTTTCACACCAGAATTCAAGATATTAAGTAGCAAGGAAGTACAGTGGCATTGAAGGCTGAGGTGAAGTACAAGAGTCAATAAGGTAAAGAGAGCAGACATTTCAAGATGTACCCAGATAACACCAGTTCTTAAGTCTCAAATTATTTCCAGAAAAATAATGTTCATGCATTTCTGTTGAAGCAGAAGTCAGTTTCAGGATGTGGCTTCTACAAATCTGTAGATTGAGAGTTAAGTAGGTTAATTTGATTAGACTCAAGATTTCTAAAACACACACTGAAGGATAAACAAACTAAGGAAGCATGCTTCACAAAGCTGAATTCAGTGTAATTAGTCCTTCATTCCGAGACTTCATTTTTATCTTGAATGTTCTTCCACATTTTGCTTGCAGATGTTGCAGTAAATCTATATATATAAAAGCCTAAGCAATTGTTACTAATGGAGAACCTGACAACTGGCCAGTAGCTATGATGTGCACTGGCCACCAGGGGCTCAATGCAGGAGCTGCCCCCTGGTGGCCAGTGCACAACCACAGCCAACCTCCCGAGGCCAGCCAACCTCCTGTGGTCCCTTCTCCCACCCCCCACAGCACCCCCCAGCTGGCCAGGTCGAGGGACCCCACTCATGCACGAATTTGTGCAGCAGGCCTCTAGTAAAGTAAACAAAGTTGTTTGCATGGAAAAAACACAGTAACTAATAAATAATAATAGAAGAATAAACTCTGTTTGGGTTACTCATAGCTGTAAACCTACTTTTCCCTACTCCTATATATGACAAAATCATAATGAAAAGCATAATAAATCCCAATCTAGAAAACAAGTCTGTGTAAGTGGCTATGACACAATTCTTCTGTTTTATTTCTTAGAAATTATTAAGCATAGTGGTTTTTGTTTAGATAATGACTGTATATTAAGTCTTAGAGCAGTGAAAGCAAGCAACCTGTGCTGACTCATCTATATATATATAAAAGGCTAATGTGCAAAGTGTCCCCTTGGGAGTTCGACTGCTTGCCATGATGTGCACTGACCACTAGGGGGTGGCACAGAACAAAGGAAGGCCCTGACTGGCAGCCGGCAGCCAGGGAAGGGAGGCCCCGGCCGGCATCCAGAAGGCCCCAATTGGCCCTGATCACTGGCCAGGCCTAGGGACCCTACCTGTGCACGAATTTCATGCACCGGGCCTCTAGTCATGTTATAAACATCTTCAACAAAGTAACATGGAAAGGTGGAAGTCAGAGACACAATGCAAAAAATTGCTTCCTCTGTACAGAACACATTCTTGAACTTGCCAAAACTGGAAAAAGTAGGTAGAGGGGGTGATACTTTACTACTTACTCATAAAAATTAGCTTCTATGTTAAAAAGAAAGAACAATCTCTGTTGGTCCCCAACTTTCATCATAAAGTTAGCATCCTCTACACTTGGCAGCTCCACAGGGCACATCACATGGTGGTGCTCCAGGTTCCTTAAAAAATGCATTTGGGCATATTATCAGGATTACATCCTCCCTAGTGTTCCAGTTCCTGCTGCCTCCCAACATAGATCAAGGACAGATGTCCCACTGCCTGGTGAGATCCAGCTAGCTTTCCCTGCATCAGATTCTTTAGAGAACTATGATGAAAACAACTCATGGAAACGTGGCAGCGGAATCCAAAAGTTGCAGCTGGAGCCACTTCTTCCCTTAGCTCCTAAAAGTAGTCTCTTCAAGCCCCAAATGTACTTACCCGCCACTACACACCCTGGGCCCTGTCCCCCCGCAGCCCTGACTCCCACACGGGATCGCTCCATGTAGAGTCGCCCACCACTCCCACTTCACCTGGGGTCCGCCCTGAGAGCAGGTGTACACCCGTCCTTTTATCCTTGGTGGGCCCAGCTACTCTGCGGACGTCTTTAACTCCGCAGCCCGGTTGGGCGCCCACAAGCCATCACAGGTGAGATGGATCTCCCTGCAGGTCCCCGTGCCGGCTGTTTTCTCTGTTCATAGCCGCTTTGAACAGCAGTCTCTCTCTTGCTTGATAAAGAGATTTTTCTCTGTTGTCAATTTGAAAACTTCAATATATATATAATATATATGAAGAATGCTAATAAATATATAAAATATGTACATCAACTAAAATTTGAATTTGCAAATTATCTCTCTGAAGCCATCCAGGTTCTATTAGGAGAGAAAAATAACCCAGCAGACCATTTATTCAGTAATGGACCTGTTGCATTACTTCAACCTGTGCTATTGCTGCCCCAATGTTTAAGTATCTGACTTCCTGATAACCAGATTCTGGCACCTTAGGGAGAATTTAGCCATTGTTTTGCAGTGGATAAAACAATGATACATCTGTAATACTATCAACAAAAATAGATTAATATATATATATATATATATATATATATATATTGCTAAGAGAAATGTCAAAAAAGATATACTTAGCTTGCAATGATCAAAATATAATCACTTCTATATATATATACACACACGTATGTATGTATATGCACATATATGTATATATGTATATATATATATATATTCCATTTTTATATTTACACAGGAAATGAGAGTCCTGTGTGTAATGGAAGGCTGTGCTTCTTCCAAATACTTATAGTTACATGAATTGATAAAAATTTGTAATGCAATTAATACGTTCATAGGAATTGTGAACTTGGTTAAGTGTTTGAAAATGAAATCATCCTTTTTTATTGCTTAAATTCTTACAGCTTACCCACACTGGGTAGAAAAGCTCAATGATACTCAGTTGGACAGTGGGAGCCCTCTCCGCTGGGAGTGTAAGGCTACTGGGAAACCCAGGCCCACATACCGCTGGCTGAAGAACGGAGTGCCCCTCTTAACTCAGGTACTTTTGGCAACTATTCACTCTCCAGGTGTACTTTTAGCAGGATTACAAATAGGGCAACCTTCTTTCCTTCTTATTTTTTTTTTTTAAATATATATTTTATTGATTTTTTACAGAGAGGAAGGGAGAGAGATAGAGAGTTAGAAACATCGATGAGAGAGAAACATCGATCAGCTGCCTCCTTGCACATCTCCCACTGGGGATGTGCCCGCAACCCAGGTACATGCCCTTGACCGGAATCGAACCCGGGACCTCCCAGTCCGCAGGCCAACGCTCTATCTACTGAGCCAAACCGGTTTCGGCCTTTCCTTCTTATTGAAATCCATTTTTTACTTAGGCTTTATAATATACTTGGAGTGAGAAATACCACAAATATGTAAACAATTTTTTAAAATTTTTATTTATTGATTTTTTAAAATATATTTTTATTGATTTCAGAGAAGAAGGGAGAGGGAGAGAGAGATAAACATCAATGATGAGAGAGAATCATTGATTGGCTGCCTGCTGCATGCCCCCCATTGGGCATCAAGCCCACAACCTGGGCATGTGCCCTGACCCCCTGACAGGGAATTGAACCAATGACCTCTTGGTTCCTGAGTCCATGCTCAACCGCGGAGTCACACCATCTGGGCTATTTATTTATTTATTTTATTTTATTTTATTTTTAGAGAGAGAGAGAGAGAGCGAGAGAGATATTTGTTGTTTCACTTATTTATGCATTCCTTGGTTGCTTCTTATATGTGCATTGACCAGGGATCGAACCAGTAACCTTGGCATCTCTGGATGCCTCTGTAACCCACTGAGCTACCCAAACAGGGGGAGAATTTTTATTTTAATTACACTAGAGTTTTTAAAATAATGCATTGTTTCTTTAAATTGTATTAAATCCTGTAAATTTATAGGAAAATATAAATGCTTATCATAAACTCATTGCCATTTCTAGCTGACTTTTAGCCATCATCTAGCTTGTTGCTGTTGCTTTGCAGATGACAGAGACAACCCCAGGTAGTAAAGTGACCTGCCCAAGATCATATATCTAGTAGGGGGACTGGAATAGAACCCTGTATTCTGTGTCCTGGGCAAGTTCTTACTGTGGCATCCTGCTACCCATACATTTAAATATCCTTTTAGGAAATATGCATGTTTATAAAAACAACTTAATATGTACAAAATTTGAAAATAAGTCAATTACTATTTAATTTCAGAATAATAGTAATAATTTTAGCAAAGTCTTCCCCTTACTTTTGGCCTTCGCAGGAAAGAGGGCAGGAGGGGATAGTGCACTATTTATGGCCAAAATGGAGGGATGTGTATAACGTTGAAATCCTGGGCACAGGTTCTTCCCAGCGGCCTCTTGTCTGTCTTTACCTCTTTGGACTTCAGTTTGCTGCTTTGTAAAATGAAAAGATTAGATCAGATCATCCCTATAGTCCCATCCAGCTCCAACATTCCCTCATTCTAAAGCCAGTTAGGCCAAAACAAATGCAATTACATAAACAGACAAGTAGAGCTGTTAAAAAGAACTATAGTGCTGGTTAAAAACAAAACAAGACTGAGAGTGAGAGGCTGGGAACCTTTCTCTCTAATTCTCCCTCGGATACCAGATACACTTTGAGAAGGGACTGCTCGTCATGTTTTCTCCTGCCAGCATCCAAGTCTAGTAAATTCCATCACTTCCACTGGCAGATGATACATCTGCAAAGGGAATGGGTTTATTCTGAAAATGATGCCAAGTTACTTGGCATCTCTATTGATAATCAAAGCACTGGTCACTAATATTTTAAAAAATGATTTACTTGACATTAAGTAGACAAGAAACCTGGTTGTTTAACAACATTTAAAATTCGTTTTTAAATGTGCTCTTGGCCTCTTGGGTAGGGAATCGATTTACTTCAATTTGCACATGCTCAATTTTCTGTCTCCTGTATTGTTTCTTCTGATTATGAAGTTCCTATTTTTTTTTTTACCAATAATTTTATACAGAATCTAGTTCTAGGGCAGTTTTTCATTTGTGTTATTTTATTGGGAAATGAGAGAAAAGGCAAACTCCTGACGAGATCAATATAGTAAAGGGGTCTTTGTGATGACCTTAGCTATATTTAACCTTGATTCTATGTATCTCTAGCCTCAATTCTTTCTTCCATGTGAACCCCTGCTTCTCCTTTATAAAATGAATTCAAATAAAAGCTTCATCTGAAGGTTTTTCCTCACAAGCTCAGCTAGTATAGCAAACAAAAGCAGCTCCACTTAAAAACCAAACTAAAAGTAAAACTCGAAGGAACAACTACAGAAAAATATAGTTATAATTTCTCTCCTAAGAAGTAGTTTGAATTTACATGAGGCCTTATAATACAATAAGGAGCAGTAAATTGTCTTGCTAAGTTGTCAGATAATGTTCAGTTGCATTAATTGCAGGCTTTTTTTTCTTGGTCTGGCAGATGGTAACTGCAGAATCTGTATGATTTGTTCACTTTCTATCTCTAATATTCTTATGCCATTACAGAGTAAGGTTGAGATGGTTAATGGAGTACTGATGATCCACAGCGTGAATCAGTCAGATGCTGGGATGTATCAGTGTTTGGCTGAAAATAAATATGGAGCCATTTATGCAAGTGCTGAGCTGAAAATTCTAGGTATGCAATTTCTAAATAAATCAATGGGAAGAAAGCATGGCTTCTTTCCATGCTCTAATTCTCACTCTACTGAAGTTTTATGGTGTGATTGTAAAAGCCTATTTTTTGGATTGAAAACAATTCTATGTCTTGCTAACATTTTTTTTAAGCTTTAGGGGACAAGTCTACATTGGGTACAGTGTGTGCCATAACTTTTATTAGAAGGCTTTTCTAACTTTTCGTTTTAATCATAACAGGGTTACACCATACATGTTTTCCATGGCATTAAAGAAATCATAAGAAGTTTATGTTAACTTTCAAGGAAGGATATTGGGGGTAGGGAATCAGAATGTAGACTTCCAGCAGCCTCTCCCCGCCCCCTTAGCAATGCTTAATACTTTTCTGAGCGGCTCCTACCTACCAGTAGGCGGGACTCCAGAGTACAGCACCTCTCATCCTGGGCATCACCATGTCCATCCTTACATAGAATGGAAAGCCTTCCTGAGGCCAGGCACAGCTGTTTCATAGGGTTAAAAACAATAAGAATGTAACCAGGGCAGTCATACTGTTTCACTATTTAATACAGGAAAGATAAAATCCCATGGAATAGGCTACCAAGATTGAGCATATTTGGGCTGCTGGAATGGATTTAATTTTTCCCGCTCTGATGATTTTTAAACTTTGGTTCTGGGGTGTTTATAAGACAAAGGGAGATACTTAGGGGATCTCAATTCACTGCCTCTCCAAAGTGATCAGAAGCCCAAGTGTACTTTCTGTTCTCCACTTACATTCCCGGAGCAAGACATCAACAGAAACACCCAAGATCTCAGGAACCTGGGAACTTACCATTTACAGATTAGCTAAATGTAATACGCCATAAGTCAACTTATTAAATTATGAATGCCTAAACTTAAACTTTTTCTACATTATAACCAAAATAGACACAAGTTTATATTTTAGTTCTCTAAAACTAATCAATAAGATATTAATGTATTTCCTCTTCAGCTTACACTCCATTTCTGAGTTAAAAAGCTGATTCAGCCTTCACTCAGTTAATCTTTTACTCAGAAACACTTAGTCACTAGACATATTTTCAAAATTACCTTTTGTAAGTTCTATTTCCAGTAGGCAATCAAAAATATTGCCTGTGATTCCCCCATAATAGTCTTCACTTTTCTTTCAATTTCTTAACCCTCTCAATTGCATATATATCTTTTTTATGTTGTGTACATATGTTTCATGTTATTGTGTCATGCATTATATTGCTATGTGATGGACATAAAATGCTTGTGAAATAATCACGAAAGTATCATACTGGTACAATAAATCTCTCAGATACAGTAGACTTGTAGGTATATCTTTCAGGTTTCCTTTAGATTCAAGTGCTTTTTAAAAATAATGTGCTAGGACCTCTGTGGCATGTATTCTTCAACCACAGCTGCACAATGGAGTTAACTGTAATCTAAAGTGTCTTGATAAAAATACAATAAAAATAATATTAATGAATGAGCAGACCTAGGTGAATAATTGCAAACAGTGAAATAGAACTTTTGATTGGAATTTAAATTATTCCATTTCTTAAAAACTGCATTCAATTGTGTATAACATTGAAGTAAAATATGCTTTAGTGAAGACTCACACATAGGAAATGGATGACAGAATTGTCTTCTCCACAGGGGGCCTCCATTTTTCCAGAGGAAGCCAAAATAGACTTGATTTGCTGACCCCTTCACCTTTTGCCCAAGGTGCTCATTAGTCTTTTGCAATTAAAGTTGATCACCATAATTAAAGCATGTCATTTTTTAAAAAAACGGCCTTTGTCTCTGGATTCCACATTTCATGAAACCATCACATACTAATGAAAAGGACAACCAATAAGATAGCTATTAATTAAAAAAATTTAAGTGAATGCCTTTTATCTGTGTAAATATTGTATGATTTTATTAGAAATGTAGCCCAGAAGAAAAAGTTGCAAAATATTGATGTATCATACATTCGAGATTATTGTCATTGCTTCTGGTAGAACTAACTTTTTTTTTTTTAATAGCTTCAGCTCCCACTTTTGCACTGAATCAGTTGAAGAAAGCAATAATTGTTACCAAAGGCCGGGAAGTCTTCATAGAGTGCAAACCCCAAGGCTCTCCAAAACCAACCATCTCTTGGAAGAAGGGAGACAAAGCAATTAGAGAGACTAAAAGGTTAGACGTCTATTTCACAATCCAAACTCTTAACGTCAATCTTTTTTGAAGTTGCTGATGATACACGCAAAGTATGCAGGAAAGAGGCTTGCAGTAATTGTGAAACATATTTTTATGACTAGATTGAAATATGGTTTTGTCTATATAGTGAGTAAAAAGAACCCAAAGGTCTACTTCAATATAGCGAGACGACTTTACCTCTGTGGGGTTTCAGCACCAATTGAGAACTTCACCAGGTTATGAAGAAAGCGAACACTTGTGTTAAGTGAGTTATTCTGAGTTTTCATTTTGGGTCTGCAGAATCGGGGATACCCAAGTGATCTATGATAATATTTAGAGATTGTGTTCTCATTTCAATTTTAACATTAAAAATAGCATAAACACATTCTGGATCTTTTGGATAATTACTTTAAGATGGAACACTTCCAATTAAAATTTGTGCCTATTTGCCTTTCTTTTTTTTCTTTTCAGTAATGTTGATACAAAATAGTACAGGATTTTTCAGTAACCACAGGCAATTGAGAAACATGCAGAGTAATATATAATGTGTAAAGATTTGTCTTTGGTAAGTAAACTAAAAGGGCATCACAGTAGTACAAATGAAAAACAGATTAGAGAATCAATGATTAATGTATGCCTAGGTCAAAAGTCCCGTGCTCTTCCAGTTACTGCCATATTGGTGTTGCGAATGGTGACTCAGCTTTGACAAAATAATATCCTCCAATATATTAAAATAAGGTTGAATATGTTGCCTTAGAGTTTGTTTTTCATTTGATCTGTAATGATGGAGTTTATACCTGGTTTTATGTTTGTCTGGGTCTAAGTAATCATATAATTAAATAATTTAAGTCAACATTAGGGGTCCATTTGAATAATTCTTAAAGTAATTTTGGAATGTTTGAAATTATTAAAAAATGTTTTTGTTTGCCATTCAAGTTGAAGAAATACTGATTTTAACTGCCTGTGTCTGATGAACTAATTTGTGGAAAAACTAGATTCAGTTTGGGCCCAAGGACCTCTGCTGCCTGGAAAAGGGTATCTTCAGAGAGGGATATGGGTAGTATCACTGGGCATCTCATTTTGAAAGGGAATTTATCTTTTAACTCGGAGTAGGGGGCCAGGTGGTGGGCAGAATCACAAACTGCAAGATCTGCGTTGCATATGGCTGAATGACATAGGAAGGAATTGAATTTGGGGGGGTTGCTACTTATAGAAATATATTTTAAAACCTGGCAGAAACCTTATTCAAGCAGAAGAAACGTTTTTTGTTTGCTTGTTTGTTTTGTTTTTGTTTGTTTTTTTGTATTGTGAGGACAAATACTTTACATTGCTTGGTATCATTTTTTTCTGAATGTATTGAAATATCTTATGTCATCAAAATATATATGCCAGAGCAGTGCAAGCCATCACATTTGAAATGCTTGTTTGTGGGTGGCCCATGCAGCTTGTCCTATTTATTTCAGTTCATCATAGAAAGTTCCTCATCATCTATTCATAGACATCTCACTGTGAGTTTAAAAAATTAGGTGGCATCTCCTTTGTCAAAGCAAATGTATCGAGAGAGGAACAATATTACGGGTTTCCTATTACAGCAAATATAAACTTTTTATTTTCTGGAAGTTGAAAACAAAGTTGTGAATTTACCAGTTTTCTTGATTGATTTTCTCCTCACTGGTAACCCCTTGGGTTAGGGGGAGACTACGCTGGCCTCAAACTCCAACCACTCATGTTTTCCAGATGTCAATACTTTGGGTCAAAGTGCTAGTCAGTGAGGAATCTGAAATAGTTTTGTTTTTATTTATTCAAGTAAAAGTAAGACTTGGCCACATTTGCTTAGCATTTTGCCTACTCAGATGTGTTTGGTTTGTGAAGTGGTTTAATTTAACAACTCTGGAGGTATAGTGTATTTTTACAACTAAAATCAACAAGACCACTTGCAAAATATGATTTTTTACTGCTATATGATTTGTTTTCATTTGAGCAATCCCAGATTTCAGGAAGAATACAGTCTAATCTATATATATAAAAAGCCAGCGATCGGAAATGCCATAACAACCTGAATGACCAGTCACTGTGATGCCCACTGCAGCCAGCGAACCACCTGATCGGGGGGTGGGGCTGGCTGGCCAACCTCCCGTGTCCCCCCCCCCCCCCGCCGGCCTCGCCCTTGATCAGCCTCTCCCACCCTGATGGGGGGTGAGGTGGCCGGCCAGCCCTCCCTCCCCCCTGCATCCCTTCTCCCTTGGCTGGCCCCACCCCTGATCACCCCTGCCTACCCCAATATATATATAAAAAAATTAAACAGTTAAGAATTAAAATAAGAGATTAAGATTTAAATATTAAAATGAATTTCATAAAGCAAAGTAGAAGGCACACATAGATGTATGGAAAACTGAACATTCTAAAATATGAATGGAAACTTGAAAATTAAAGTGTCAAATGTATATATCATAATCTCTTTAAAGTAGGATCTCAGTTACATATGCTACTTATATTCTTACAGAAATTTTAGATAACTTCTCTTTATTATAAAGCTCACCAACCATTTGATAAGAGTTGTAAACATAATTTAAATATAAATGGAGATGTTAGAAATCTATTAAAGCTTTGAAAACTGCAAATATATTTCATATTTGGACTACAGACTTAAATTATGGTTTATTATAAGATAAGTATATTTACCATTTATGTGATATACATTAAATACAGGGTATCCCAAAAAAATGTATACACACTTTGAATAATTATTAATTCCAATGGGTTATATCTGAAAAGAAAGAAATATCCATTAAGCAACCAGCTTTAAAGTGTGTATACATTTTTTGGGAACAGCCTGTATGTTCCTCATTCATCCAAACTACAACAACTGGAAATAAAAAGTTAAATAAATTAGCCTTGTCCATCTTTCACAATGTTCACAGTTTTGGAAGGTTCATTCTAAATTAAATATTGAAAGAGCAAATGGCAGTGTCCTATATGAGCAAATAAAGGCTAGTATTTTATTTGGGAAAAGTGGTTAAAGAAATATTTAAATGTAAGAAATATAGCGTCTTAAGACAAAATTATGTTATGAGCAATGGCATTAAAATATCATGAAATATTTTAATTGCAGAAAAATATCATCTAAACATCTGAAAACATATCAGAAACTCAAAAAGATGAATTTGAATCTAGAATAAATTGCAATTTAATTCTATACTGTAAACACAATGTTGTAACAAATGAAGGTTAATATGAAATCACTTATTTTATCAACAAACTGCCAAATAACTTATCGGTTTATTTATTTATTTATTTTTTTACCAAATTTTGGTTGAGTCTTTCAGATTTTATTAGCTTTTTGGGGGGAGTGTCTTTAAAACACAGCATTTTTGTGTATTTATCTATTTCACTAAGGAAATACATAAGTTGTTATCTTAAAGTTTAAAATTTGATAAGTAATAACTAGAACATAATATGACTTTTAGGAAATAATTGATTAACAAATAAGTTGCCTGCTTATGTATTACAAAATATTTCATTAGTTTGACCCTAAATGATACATCTAAAATATATAAGAAAATAGATTACATTAGAGCTTGTGAGTTATTTGTAGTTGCTTGCTATTTATATCATCGAATGAGTTGTTTATATGACAGAATTTTCAATATAAACTGCTGCAAAAAACAGTAAATCATATTAATGATGATAACTGCTTAAAGTGTATAGCATTTATAATTTACAAGGCAATTTAACATTGTGGGTACAGTATAACCCAGTGTATATCAGGACTTGGTTGCCCTGCTTATCCTACAGACTATATGTTACTTTACTTATTTGCTTATTTGTGAAGTTGGAAGCCAAGAGTAACCTCACTGGGTTGTGAGAATTGAATGAAACTTTGCATGTAAAATGCACTGGCTGGTATATGGCATTTAATAAGTGATCAAAGAATGTTACTTGTGTGATAATGACACTACTGCTGCTGATGATAGTGGTGGTGGTGATGATGGCATCATTTAAACATTTGACTCGTTGAATACTGGCATCAATTTTTATCAATAGCTCTGGAAAATTTTATCACTCCCCTTTCTTCCTTCAGTAATTAAGGAGAAGGATAGTTAAGATTTAAGTCGTTATCTGGGATTAATCTTTTAGGTCCTTCGTGTCATCACTTTGTTATTCATAAATCTATGTCCCTAAATTGACATTCTTTGCCCACCAGAGCCCCAAACCTCCACTTCTCGTCATCTACTCCTGGCATGGCCATTCTCACCAACCTTCCCTACTCCTAGTTCAGTATCAGTGCTAGCAGGCTGAATATGTATTACTCCCACAATCAGCATTATAGGCAATGTGCAAATAGGTGAATATACCCAGGGAGTTCATGAAAATAGAGAAGAAGCCTTTTACAGACATTTTTTACTCTTTTTTTTCCCTCTTCTCTTTCCTCTAAGGAATCTTCAGGTTTAGCCCAGTCGCTTTTAAAGATCAGCAGCACATATCCACTTAGGTTCCTTTATCAATCATGTCCATTTCAATACTAAAACCAATACGCTCCAAGAATACTAAGACGTGAACTGTTCCATGGGGCTTTTCTTCTCTAGTATACTTTCATTCAGAATGTTCTGCTCATCAAACTTATATTGGATTTTCACTTCAGCTCATTATTCCCATTACTTGGCCATTAACTTTTGTTAAAATATAATCACCCAGAAGCACTCCAGCAGTGCACAAATATTAAGCCTTCATTATTTCACGTTCAATTTCCTGTACAAAGACAAAGTGGACAAAGGCAATCTTGGCTAAAATAAAGAATACGTAGTTTTTGGTGAAAGCACAGTTTATTTTGTTTTTCTTTCCATCTGCACATGTTTAAACTGCTATAGAACCCCATATAATATGCCATATATGTTTAAAATTTATTCACAAATGTTAAAATTCCACACTGTCTTAAATGCCAGTTTTCGTTTCTAGGCGGAGGAGGGGGGATGGTACCAGTTACAGAGATAACGGACTGT